AGGGGAGGGCGGGGAGAGGGAGGGACCTCAGTGGGCTATAATGCCATAGAGTCCACCTTCCAAGGCGGCCATTTTCTCCAGGTGACCTGATCTCTGTCACCTGGAGGTCAGTTGTAATCCCAGATCTCCAGCCATCACCTGGAGGTTGGCAAGCCTATTTCTAACCAAGAAAGGAATCCAGTCGAATACTTTTTTGTTCCTTCAAAAGAAATTATAATGCTTAATGTGTTTTCTATATAGCATTAGAGGGGCTAACAGAAAACATAAACTATGGGGTTTTCCTGGCTTGACGTTTTATATCAAAGACTACTTTTTTGTTCCTTCAAAAGAAATTGTAATGCTTAATGTGTTTTCGATATAGCATTAGAGGGGCTAACAGACAGAAAACATAAACTCTGGGGTTTTCCTGGCTTGACGTTTTATATCTCTTAAGGCTTGGTGAGGGGAAAGAAACCCCAATATATTCTTTTTAATTTGGGATAGTGAAACTGTTTGATTTCTTAACTCCAATGGGTCTTCAAAGCTGTGTCTTTACAAAGCAGAAATAATGCTAATTATTAGTAGAATACGGAAAAACAAAAATCAGGTTCTGGAGCTGAGCGTTGAAGCCTTGGGCTCCTGTGAACAGTGTTCTTGTGATTTTAACACACCGAAATATATATATACAGTTTTTTATAGATTTGTAGTAATAATGTCCTTGTGCTGACCCCAGTCTGTAAGAACCAAGGTGTTATGTTAACCCAACTCACTGGAAGATAAGCTTTTTTTTAAAAAAAGGAATAGAATTATCCCCCCAATGTACATTTTCTTTCCCCCTCCCATCTCTCTCTCTCCCTAATTACATTTTGTGTATCGTATTCAAAAACTATCGTCGTGGCTTCTTTTCTAAAAGACAGAAACTGTGGAATTAAGGTGACTTACAATTTTTTTATAAGAAAAATGTCTTCTTTGTAAAACTCCTTTCACGTGTACTGGATACATGAAATCTGGGTAGAAGGAACCATCATGACATGCACCCTCCAAACATGTTGAAGAGCAAACCATGGGGTACAGTCCAGGTCCTTCTACCTGTTGAGAGAAGGTTGCCATGGGGGGTTGGGTTTCAGAAACATGTAGCATAGCTTTCCCCTCAAGAGGGTGAAGCTGCTGGATAAATATGGGAGAGGTACAAGAGCATCTTGGCATCCCATGACTGGCCATAAGCATTGAAATGAGCCCAGCATGGCAGGGGAGAGATATGGTACATTCTCTTCTGGATCCCTAATTGCTCCTTTCTCTCTTCATGCAGAAGGGTCTGGATCAGGCCCTCCTTCATTTTTTAAACAGAAGTCTTTTGTTAGGTTTCCGTTTTAGTTCATCATATCCGTTGCATGGAAGAAAGTTGGAATATTGGCTTTAAGAGTTGCATGACATGTAAAAGAGTTTTGTGCATTGCGCTCTGTTGGCATCTGTTGCAGATTATGTACAAAGCTGACCTGGTTCGGTACAAGCCGTTCCCTTCCGCTTTGGACAGAGGAGATGTTTATTATTTGTTGTATACGACCACGCACTGAATAAACTATTTATAGTAAGATGAACTTTTTTAAAAAATGCAGCTTGGCTGTTTGTTCCACACAAAAAAGTTTTCTCGATTGTCCAGAGAAATGGGGGGCTCGCAGCAACTCTGTGAGACAAATAAAGGTAGGTATGTGTGCATCTGTGGGTGTGATATCAGCTCACAGAGGGAGTTTTGTAGCTGAGCAGAAGTTAAAAGCCAGGCCCTCGTAGTTGCCAATAAAATTAAAAATGAGAAAATACCATTTTACTCAACTCTTTGTGTTGATGCTGATTGCACAGAGAGACACAAGGGAAGGCAAAATATTAACTTTGGGCAGTAAGAGACTTGGGTCAAGCCCTCTGTACATTTTTGGCTTAGATTAAGGTCTTTCAGTTAATTTGTATATGACTAAGTTACCAGGCTTTGCTGAATTTTAATCCCCCCCACACAATTCATTTGTTTTAATACTGTATGGATACTTTAAATAGAAAAATAACTCAAACATTAAACATTTTTTTAAAATTGTGGAATGGTGGCACTTTGTCCATTAAAAAAACCCCTGTGTGAAATAGCCCCATTCCTATAGTCCTATGGGGTAAGAAGGAAAGTAAAGACTCCCACTCCAGAATGGGGTGGCAACTTTGTGGATGGGATTTCCTTAGGATCTGCACTTGGCATGGATCTTCTGTTTATTTATTTGAAACATTTATTAGCCACCTTTCTTTCCCACAGAGCTTGAGGTGGCTTACAACACAGATTTTAAAAAAACACATAAAATACATTAGAAATATAAACACTAAAATTTAAAATCACATCTCAGGACTGCCAGTAAACTCAGGGGTCTTTTCGTAGAAAAAGAGCTGCAGGAGCTCATTAGCATATGGTATGCTAATAAGCTACTAGGCTATTAGCATATGGAAGTGATGTCAGAAGGGGAAGCAAAAGGGGGGGAGGCATCTTCAAAAGCCTCTCCTTTCCTTCCCCAGCTGGCCTGGGGGCGGGGGAGTGAAGAGAGAAGGAGTTTAAAGTTTAAACCCCTTCTCACTAGAGTTGGGCCACAGAAGGAGAAAAGAGGGAAGGAAAGAGAGAGAGTAGAGAGAAAGAAGGAAGGAAAGGAGGGAAAGAAAAGGAAAGGAGGGAAAGATGGCAAAGAGATGGAGGGAGGGAGGCTCTCCCACCACCACCCATCAAGCCCCCGCCACCCCCATCACCGTGGATCCCTTACTGGTTCAGTGGGGCCCGGGGAAGCCGGCGGCAGGGCTCTCCAGCCTCCCCCCAAGCTGCAGCACTCCTGCGCAGGCCCGGGGGGCCGTGGCGACAGGGTTCTCCGGCCTCCCCCGAGCCGCAGCACTCCTGCGTGGGCTTGGGGAACATGACAGCGGGGCTCTCCGACCTCCCCCGAGCTGCAGCACTTTCGGCATGGGGAGCTAGGGATGGGGCTTGCTGCCCCCGCCATTAGCACGGGCTCCTGGGCTGCCGGAGTGGTGCTCTGGCGCGCTCCAGCCCCAAAAGACCCCTGAGTAAACTTAATCAGATGCAGCCATAAATAAAATTGTCTTCAACTGCCTTCTGGAAATCAAAAGTGAGGGGCCCGCTTCATCTAAGAACATAAGAGAAGCCAATGTTGGATCAGGCCAGTGGCCCATCCAATCCAACACTCTGTCACACAGTGGCCAAAAATACCAGGTGCCATCCAGGACGTCCAGCAGTGTATTATGAAGCACATCTCCGTAGTGAGGTTGTTCCATGATTGTGGGGCTGCTACTAAAAGGCCCTTTCTTGAATACCCATCAAACAGAGTTGCTAGATCCCTCCTGGCAACCAATGGGGGTGGGGGAGACTTAAGAGAGAGAAAAAGGCCCAGTTGATGTCACACAGGAAGTGATGTCATCATGCTACGACATTGTGGGAATGCTCTGATATTTGGGCAAAAACTCTGTAAAAATGGCTTCTACCATATATCTTTGCCAAATTCCAGAGCATCACCCAGAACTTGCTGGTGTAAGGATGTCACTTCCTGTGCAAGGTTGCCTGGGCCTTCCTCTTTCTCCTGGTAAGTCCCCTAGTGGCCAGCTGATTGGTGGGGGGCAGGGCATGGGGGCAGGGGACCCGTACTTCTACCAGGGCACTGGCAACCCTACCACCAAACAAGCTTCTGTGATTGATGGGACAGTCAGAATGACCTCTCCCTGTGATCTTAATTCCCTGGGAAGAACATAAGGGGAAAAGACGGTCCTTCAGATACTTTGATTCCAAGCCCGGTAGGGCTTTAAAAGTCAAAAACAATACTTTGAATAGTGCTCAGGTATGGGTCTGTAGCCAGTGCACTTGCTGTAATATCAGAGTCACACACACATATTTCTTACATATTTCCTCCCATACACACACACACACCTGTGCCAATGTGACCACCTCACTGAAGAGAAGAAGATTGCTAACCAGGGCCACATGCCCACAGATACATATAACAAATGTCACAGGGGTATTAAGTCTGTTAGTGCAAAAAAAACAAGTGGGAAAGGGGGGAGCTGTATTCTATGGAAGTTTTTGCTAGAGCATAAACGTGTTATAACATTAATTCATAGAGAAATGAAATATACATTAAGTTTTCCTTGGAGACCATCCACTGGGTCGAGTCAAGAAAGATGTTCCAGAGTTCCACACTGCCCAGGCTTACATGGGCCTTGTTCCGATTGGGGTAAGGGAGAAGTGGGCTTCAATTTCCCCCATTTCCCTGACCTGGAATGGCCACCAGTAGCTGCTGTTTGCTCCACTAGGGGTTTCATGTGTACCGATGCGCTTCATAATGCGTTTCCCAAGTGGACGTTTCCCTGTGTGCTGTAGCCCTCCTCCAAATTGGATCCTTGCATGCCTGGGAAGTGCAGAACTCTGGAACTTATCCCCCAACCCAGGGAAATCCCAGGGACAGTTAGGCCTTTAGACCGCTGCCCTCTTCCAGGGCAGGAGACCGGATGGAGCCAGAGGGTTTATGAAAAAAGCCTACCTCCCCCCCAACCCACCAGGCTTTTTACTGGTGACATCCAATGTTCCCTCTAAGCTGTGGAGTCTTGTGAGCAAAAATTCTACTTTGTGAGCTACTGGCCTTAAAGTTGTGAGTGAGTGATTTGGCTACTGCATAAATTAGTTTGCTCTGGAGCCATCCTCCCTGAGCTGAGACAAAAATGTGTGAGCCGGAGGCTAAAAAACTGAGCTAGCTCACACTAACTCAGCTTAGAGGGAACACTGGATGACATCATAATTTCCATTTAATCAAC